ATATATATATATATATATATATATATATATATATATATATATATATATATATATTTATTTATTTATTTATTTATTTATTGAAAGATTGATGGATAAAAATTATAATTAATTAAATATATACATTTATATAATACACTATATTTATTAAATAAATATAAATATTATATAATGTGCAAAGGGTATTTTTGGTATTTGTGATATAAAAGCTATTCCCAAGGGCATGGGAATAGCTAATACCAAGGCCCCCCTAGGAATGGCTATTCCCCATGCGAATAGCCATTGGCAAAATGATCCAATGGCAAAATGATCCAACCAAACGATGGAATAGGTCTATTCCAAGGAATGTTATTCCATTCCTGACCTATTCCATGAACCAAACATGCCATTAGGCCTTTGTCCAAACCAGAATGGTGCATTATCTTTGCAGGTCCCAGAACATAACATTCTTCCAATGCAACACATCTTCATTAGAGTGTTCCCTAGGATCTGATGTATGTTTCTAGTATCTCTTTTTTTTTTTTTAATAAATGCTGGGCTAACCTCTCCTTCCTTATCACCCCCTCATCTTCATCAATGATTCCTCTTTTTCCACTCCTCAATTCAATTGTCTCATCCTCCTCAAACATCAGGTGGGCCCTAGATATCCCTTCAGCATCTGCTCCAGTAAAAGCAGAAGCCTCATCAGGCCAAAATTGTTTCCAGAGATTAGTGAAATTGTCAGGCTTTCCCTAACCCCCAAAACACCCCCCTTTCTCACCTCAAACCCTGCCTTTTTCCACCCTCATCACCCTCTCATTGACTCCACCCCAGCCAGTGATGCCAATCCAAAGTGCAGCACTCACTGGGCCACCTCCATCCACTTATCCACAGCCATCAATACCAGGCACCAACACAAAGTGGAGAACTCCTTCAAGAGCTAAGACTCTTCTTAACCCCCTAGGGAGCCCACCATTCTTCCAGAAGACCAAATTGTTACCAGCACAGCACCTTAAGAGGCAACCTGCAACACGGTTAACTCTCTCAGTGCATCTACTGCATCTGACATTAGGCCATTCTTCAAGGAACTCCCACCCACCATCACCCCAGCTATCAGATTCCAGGCACACAGAAGCTATCTTTTTCCTTCTGCACCAAGCCCAGCAGTCTTGGAGCATTTCTCTAACCAAAATCCTGATGTCTCCACCTTCTTGCTTTGAATAGATCCCAGCAGAGCAGAACCTGCCCCTTGAGTTCCTTGTGAAGAAAGCACAGGCCCCTTCATCCCAGTCCACTGCCCAATTTATTTTAACTTCTCTAGTCCTAGGCCTGCACCAGCAAGTCTTCTGCACAATTCTGCTACATCCAAACTCTTCTGCCTTCTGCATAATAAACTTCCAGTTTGGAGGGAATGGATCCCATAATGGCCATTTCCTTTGTATACAATCTGATACATCCTTAACCACTTTGTAGATCACTCTTGCAGCTGATGATCTCCCCCCTCCATATTTGCAGCTTGTGTAATTCACCCACAATTCCCAGAGAATTAACATAGGGAGTCTTGCAGCTATAAATTTCAGCAGTCTGTTCTTTATCTTGGCCATCCACCAGTCATAGAAAACGTGTCTCTCACTTCTCACTGGAATGCTCAAATCCATAGACCTAGAGAAATAGTCCCAAACCTGCCTTGTTGTCTCCCCTACTCCAAAAATGTGTTGCAATGTGTCACACCCAGGATTTATACAGCATGTGCATTTTGACACAGTTTGATATCCCATAGTTCTTAACACATCATTTACTGGCAACTTCCTTTTAAATACCCTCCATGACAAGAATGCCATCTTCCATGGAACCCCTTTGCACCAAATCTTCTTGCTCCATAATGCCCCTGTGCCAGCAATCCTTCTGTGTCTTGCCATCCCCTTTGCAGATTTGAGAGTGAACCCAGCTCCAGTAGGCTCTCATATTGCCTTGTCTTTCCTATCTTGTACCAAGTAAATTCCTTGACCTACAGTCTGATCCTGAATGCCCACCTTCCTTACATCCAAGGCTCCATTCTCCAGGCAATCCTTTAATACTTCTTTGACCTTCCTTTTTCCCCTAATATTCAAAATGTTTGCTATGGCTCCTCTCCCTGACCAATTATCCCACAACACATTCAAATCCCCTTCACCAATTTTCCACTCTATTTGAGGTTTTGCTTTCTCTCTTGCTTCAACTATCCTCCTCCAAATATGTGAGTCTTTGTATCGCCATCCCCGCACAACTGGGTGAAATCCAGCACAGTATTTTGCCATGAGAAATTGGCTCCATACTGTGCCCCCTCCTCTAAATCTCCACCAAAGTTTCATGCCTGCTGCTTCCACCATCTCCCCTATATCAGTAAATCCCACTCCTCCTTCCTCATAAGGCTGAGCTAGGGTCTTCCATGAGCTCCAATGATGTTTCTTTTTCCCTTCCTGTTTTCCCAAAAACAAGTCAGCAAACAGCTTCTCCAACGGCTTCACCACAGCCTTAGGGGGATTAATTGCATAGAAAATATGTGCTGGTAGAGCCTGTAGTACACTTTTGACCAATACATCCTTGCCTCTCTAGGATAGAAGTCTTGCATGCCAACCATTGCACTTGGCAGCCACCTTGTCAATCAGGCCAGAAAAGAGCCTGATCCTCTTCCTTCCTTCATATACTGGGCACCCTAAATATGTGAAGGGAAATTCTTTCTATTGGCACCCAGTTATATCCCTTATTTTCTCAATTGTCTCCTGAGATGCCCTTCAATGTAAATAGAAGGCACTTTTGCTTTTATTGATCAACTGGCTTGATTGACCTTCATACTTCCCCAACACCTCCATCACCATTTCAATACCTCCATCCTTCCCTGAGGTGAACACCACCATATCATCTATAAAGGCCAAGTGTGTGACCTGTGGCCCTCTAGCTGGTTGTGTAAACAGTGCCCTCCTCTGACTTAACAATCTGGACAATAGCTCAGCTGCTAAGATAAACAAACTGGGAGACAAAGGGTCTCCCTGTCTCAAACCCCTTGAGGAATGAAAGAAGCCCTTTGCCTCCCCATTGATAATAACAGAATACCATATATTGTTAATGGTGTTGTTCACCAACTCAGTCCATTTTTTGCAAAAACCCAATTTTTCAAGAACAATTTCAATGCATCCCCAATCCAATCTGTCATAAGCTTTGGTCATGTCTAGCTTTAGAACAACATCCTCATTCAAGGGTGTCATTCCATGGCAGACCTCTTGGGCCAAAAGGATATTATCAGTAATGTTTTTCTCTTTCACAAAGCCCGATTGGACTGGGGATATGATCCTAGTCAACACACCTGCCAGTCTTTGAACCATGATTTTTGTTATGATCTTACTACAGAAATTACTCAGGCTTATTGGCCTAAACTCATTAAAACTGGCAGGGTTTGGGATCTTTGGAACAAGCACAATTGATGTGCCGGTAATGGCTCTTGTGAGACTTTTACCAGCAAAGAAGGCACTTACCAGGTTGCTTAAGTCTTGCTTGATTATTCCCCAACAGATTTGATAAAAGTCTCCTCCAAAACCATCAGGGCCAGCTGCACTATTGGGGTTCATGCTAAATACCCTGGCCCTGATCTCCTCCTGTGATGGCTCTGCTACCAGCATCTGATTCTCAGCTTCAGTAACACCTGCATGCAAACAATCAATGATAGATAGATCTCTCTCTATAGGTTCCGCAGAATAGAACCTGTGGAAGAAATCCACAGCCAGTTCTGCTATTTGGTTCTGATTTTCAACCCACTCTCCCTCATCATTTTTCACCTTGTGAATCATCTGTCTAACCCTTCTTTCGTTAACTAAACCATGGAAGTATTTGGAGTTTCTTTCACCCTCCACCACCCATTGTGTGTGGGACTTCTGCTGCCAAAATCCCTCCTCAATTCTCACCTGCCTCTGTAGCTTAGCTTGAGCCAGTTTGTACTAAGTGAGATTCTCATCAGAGGGATTAGACTGCAAATTCCCCTCAGAAACTCTTACACTCTCCTCCAACTCCTTAATTTTTTCAAAGATGTTCCCAAATACTTCCCAATTCCAATTTTTAAGCACCCCCTTCAATCTTTTCAATTTTGTCATGAAGGTGTACATTGCATTACCCTCAACCTCCCCTTCCCAAGATCTTTGCACCACCCCCAAGAATTATTCATGCTCCCCCCAAACATTCAAAAAGGAGAAAGGTTTCCTCCCCACACTGATGCAAGGGTTCAGATCCACCACCAAAGGAGAGTGGTCTAATGTAGCTTTAGAAAGGTGATGCACATAAGTTTTCAATTGCTCCTCCCAGTTCTCATTAACTAAAACTCTATCCAACCTCTCCCACACAGCCTGACTCCCTCTCCTACCATTCCACCAAGTAAAATCATTCCCATAGTACACTGATTCTCTCAATCTTGAACTATCTATACAATTTTGAAACTCTCTGCTTTTTGCCTTATTGTAAGGCTGCCCTCCCTTCTTCTCCTCACCCCTCAAAATGCAATTGAAATCCCCCATGATGGCCCATCTTCCATCCCCCACTTCCCTTGCAGCCATGGCCTCTATTAGGTCCCATAACTCCTGCCTAACTCTCCTCTCACAACTAGCATACACCACTGAGAGCATCAGATTTCCTATTACCGGCAAAGTGACTCTCATGCTCACAATCTGATACCCATGTCCCAGGGGTCAACTGAGACATCTATCCTAGAAAACCCAAATTTTTGCTGTGCCACTACACCTATTCTCAAAGCCTAGTGAGACAGAAAACTGTCCCAAATGTGATAAATCCTTGAATGGTTCAAGTAGGCACAAGATTTTTGGTTTAAACTGTCTCACCAAGTTTCTAACTCTATGAAGGGAGCCTTGGGAGGCAACTTCCCTCACATTCCAACAAATGAACTTCATTTAACAATCAGAGATGGAGGCCCCACCCCCCTTTGTTTTTGCCATCTTAGCCTTTTGGGCCCTGGTTTTCACACTCATCCCTCTCCCCTTGTCAAGTTTCTTTGCTGGTGAATTATGAGACTCCATCATCTTTTTATCAAAATCCATCTCCACCTCAGATTTCCTGGCCCGTTCCTCTATCTCAGCTTCAGTTACCTCCTCCTCATTCCTTCCCTTATCTGTCTCATAGGCTGTCTCAGTTTCTCCTTTGTCCACTAAAGTACCCCTCTCAACTCCTCCTCCCTCAGTCTCATAGGCAGTTTCTGTTCCCCCCATCATAACCTGACCCTTCCCCAAATGGATGCTCTGGCTCTTTTTCCTTCTCCATGTCAGATTCCTTCTCAAGCTCAGATTCTCTAAATCCCCCCCCCCCCCCCCCTCACTCTCATATTGCCTTTCATATATATGAATTCCATAGCTAAACCTACCCCCTCTACCTCCCCCTCCTCCTCTTTCCAACTTAGCTAAACTTACTGGTGTCCTTCCCTCATAAATGTTTCTCTCCTAGGTTTTTTCCAGGGGATCCTGAAATCCAGTAGCCCTGCCCTCATGTTGCTCCTCCTTATCCCCTTCCACTAAGATACCTTTTCCTTTATCTATAGCATTCTTTTTGGCCTACAGTGACTTGGACTTATATTCATCCTCCTTCCTTTGATTTTTCCTTTGTTGCCCCTTCCCAGCATTTTGATTTTTGCCTCTCCAGTCTGATCTCATATGCTGCCACACATTATTCTCTCCACTAGGACCTGCATTGTTATTCACATTTCTCTTATTTCTACCTCCTTTACTGTCCCCTTCTTTTTCTTTTCTTCAGGCATTTTCCCTTCCATGTTCCTCTCAGATTTAGCCACTCTACACACCTCAATTGAATGCCCTTGTTTGAAGCATCTTGTGCAGTATTGTGGCACCCTTTCATACAGAATTCTTTGCAAGTATCCATCATCCTCATCCCCAGGGTCTTCAGAGAATCCAATAAATATCTCATGAACCAATGGCTTTAATAAGTTTATCTCTACCTTAACTCTGGCATAGCTTGGTCTTGTAAAGTGCAGTGTCCCATAATCAGAAGTTGTGCAGGTTCCAATAACTCTGGCATAGCTTGGCTTTACTATTGGTCTTGTTTGCCTTTACGCCTTCTTGCTTTATTTGTAGACTTGGCCACTTTTGGGCCTTGTCCTTCTTGTTTTATTTGTTGACTTGGTCACTTTAGGCCTTGTCCTTTCTTTTCTGGTGCCTTGGTCACTTTTGGGCCTTGGCGAGACTCTGTTCGGTTCCCGTTTTGTTTATAAATAAGATGAACCTTTTTTCAAAAAAAAAAAAAAAGTAGGTTCCAATAGGCTTGCAAATCTGTCTTAGAGCAACAGTTTTGAACAAATTTGCACTTAACATGGGCAGTCTAACCTACACTGGAGCCAAGCTAGATTCTCTCTCAGTACTGAACCCCAATACCCAACTAAATAACCTCATAGGGAATCCTCCTTCAACTGTGATCTGTTCTTTCAACAACATATTTATACAGTCCTCTTCATTGGAGAAAGAGAGTGTTACATGTCTAGGGTCTAACCACCCTATGCTCATGGTTCATTTCAACACAATTTTTACTGCAAAGAATTTCCTAAGGTTCTCCATAGTAGGCTTCCCCCATGAGAACTTGCCTACTAGCAGATGTTTCTCTATGGCATTCAGCTCTTTCACTTCTTTTTTCCAAAATCTAATGGCAGGGAATCCCCTGTGAATTCCCTGCACTTTCTCAGAGATGTCAATGTATGCATCATTATCCATAGCATTCCCAACCTTAGCTTGATTGCCTGCCACTGCAGAGGCAAAATTCATTGGCCCTGTAACAGGCTTTCCTATGTTCATAGCATTGCCAGTTCTCACATTTCCTCCCCTTTGCAAGGCAGCAGGCTTACCTTCTGGATTGAAGTTACCTCTGGCCTTAGAGGCATTTTCTCGAACAGGTAGAGGGTTAGGTTTACCTGCTACTTGTTTTGCTCCCAAGTTCTCTGATTCCTTCATCTTTGATGTCGATGGATCCCCAGAGCTCTTTAGCCCTTTCCCTTGTGCCTTTCCGTCCCCCACAGTCGGAATTTCACTCCCAGAAGCTATCTCCGTGTTCCCTTCATTCGCAATAGAGCTCGAGTTTCCTTCCTTCGCAGATTTCTCTATCTTAGCTTTGACCTCCCTTTCCGATGCTTGATGATGCGATCGAACGTATTGAATCGACTCTCTGTGGCCATCTTCCATCCTTCTTCCGACCTCAGCGTCATCAAGATAGTCCGATGGTGGTTGCGCGTCCAGGTTGTCTCCTAATGAATGCGAGACAGAGTTAGACTCCGGCGGTTTTGAGGCCATCGGGCCCTTCTCTTGTGACATTTGCCGGGGTGAAGGTCCCCCCGGACCTTCCCCTACCTTCTAGCTTTCGATCGCCGGCAAGAGGTTAACGATCGGACAAGATTCCGACGAGAATATGTGAAAAAATCTGATCAGATTTTCTAGGGTTTTTTATAGTGAGAAGGGAGAGGTTTCTAGTGGTTTCTAGTGAGAAGGGAGAGGTCTCAAACTAAAATCAATTGAATTCAGTTATTTGAACGATAAATTGATGCTTAGTTTAGTACCAAATAATGCTAACTAACAATTTACTTTGACATACTAAAACTTGATAAACTATCGATTTTGTTTAAATACCATACTTGTTTATTTGCTTGAACATGAAAGTTGGATTATTGTCCTAATTGATTTGTTTATAGACCGATCCAGGAATTGCATATTGTTGCTTAACTATTTGATCAAACGTGCGTTATTTGGATATCTGTTATTTGATAAAGTATTTTGGAACTTGTAATTGGTAATTTTATTCGACATATAATAGCTCACTTTTCCTAATCATAATTGACCAATTACATTGATAATTAACTTACTAATAGCTCGATAAGTACTTACATAAGTTTGCATGGAGGAAAATTGTGGGAGCGTAGCTTTAGTTAAGAAGGGGGAGAATGGGGTGTGTGATCCTTATGATATCTCATTGAATGTCTTCCGTGTTCCTTGTTAGTATAATGTGATTTCTTAAGATTTTCCATGCATTTAAGTCCTTTTGTTGTTCATATGAGTATGGAATGGTTTGGACTCAAAACTGTGCATTCTCAGCAGTTTCCCGAAGTAATTCCTTCTTCACCGTCACGTTCCAGTGGGGACTTGGCAGGAGGTCGACCACCCACCACGTGCCCACTGCCACATTCTAGTGGGGACTTGACAGGCGGTCGACCGCCCACCTCGCGCCCACTGGTACAATATGATTTCTTGACTTCTCATTCTATTGATCCATTGTGCATTTGTGTGTCTTCCTTAATACTTCTTATGTGTTTAACATGTAAATAACAATCAAATGCTTGAACATGAAAGACGAATTATTGAGACTTATTCTATTTCTAGAAATCTAAATCCACGGGTACATTGCGTATTATTTTTTGGCCCGTAAGGCAATCTGAGTGAGACCGGGAGAAATCTGAGGAACCTAAACCAAGTGGTCATCTAGAATTTATCCTTGGAAAAATATATTGCGTCCCCAAACTATCTTAAAACTATCCCTCTAGACTTTGGTCCATGTTGCATAATACACCACAAGCCTCCAATGCCTTGTTTATAACCCTTGACCACTAAGATAAGGACCCCCTAAACAAACATTTATACATAAATAGGTATATCACTACTATTCTGAATATATTCCCCTAAACTTCTATTATATATATATATATATATATATATATATATATATATATATATATATATATATATATATATATATATATATATACACGACCTAAAGTATGTAGTGAATCCCATTTACATTTGTATGCTACACTTACATGCAAATTATTATTATTATTATTATTATTATTATTATTATTATTATTATTATTATTATTATTATTATTATTATTATTATTATTATTATTATTATTATTATTATTATTATTATTATTATTATTATTATTATTACACCCTAACCCTAATAACCTTGCCTAAACCTAAATCTTCCATGGTTGCGTCATGTACGGTACGTCCTTATATGCTTATACACACACACACACACACACACACACACACACACACACACACACACACACACACACACATATATATATATATATAGAAACTTGTGAGCCTATAGAACATCCTCCCTTATTCATACACACTCATATAAATTGTTACAGTCATATTATATACAATAATATCCCTAGCCCCAAACCATACACATGTACCCTAGCTATGATAATCTTATATGCATCTATGAGCTTGCACTTAGCATGTCCTAACCCTGAAATATCACTCCGTACAAATTACATCACTCTTATATACACATCCTGAGATAGCCCTAATTCTACATTTCCCTCTCGCATGACCTTCCTGTTACCACCCCTGCCTTCCCTAAGTACTTGTGTGATCAAATTCTGTCAAGATTTCTCAAGATAAACCTTTTAGTATTTGAGAACCTATGTTATTTTACTCGTAATTATTAAAGAATATTTGTATACGAATTGCATGTTCCCATTTATAGGTGGAAATTTATATTTTCATATGTAATGCACATAGTTCGCATGTTTATGTCAAAACACACACTTACACGCATTCCTGAATATACACAAAGCATGATAGGCAAAACTGTATGTTATAAGGCATCCCACTATGCATATATATAATATTATTAATTACAAGCAACCTGCATATAAGTGACCAATACTTGTTATGTGATCACCCACCATCATCCATGATACGCAAAATAAAGATCCTAATTCTATCTGTCTCTCCATAAATTATTTACCACATAAGAAACAAGAACCTTCCTCCAAATCACTTACAATCTTTTCCTCAAAATCTTATTTTCGTTATTTAAATAATTGTTATATGATTTATGACCTTCCTGAATTTATATGACAAATGTTTGGTTATACCACGATGTTGAGAACATGAAATTGTTAATCATGTACTAATTTAACATGTTGAATAAATGTGCTTTATGATTCCATAGGACTACTTATTATTTAAGACCCGAAATAGGTTCACATGCCCTCATACTCTATGCCTATAGACCTAAGAAATTGCATATTTAGCATGATTACAACTGTATGCATACAGGCATGACAACTTGCAGGTTCCGCATATAACATAATAGTTAATTACCATACGTATTAGGCTTGTTATTTTGTAACTGTGAGTATTTGTTATAGTCTGCTTAGCACAATGATTAGGCATAGATCCTACATATATCGCATTTTGGCCCACGACATGCTACACTACATAATAAATATTTGCATCCATTCATAAATGAGGTTCGCCTGTGTTGATATATGTGCATATGTGCCTCATAATAATTATGTGGCGATCCGAATCTGCACCCGCATGGTATTCACCTCTCATTTAGGTACATAAATAATTATATGTTCAGTGCAACTTGTGATCCTATATGTTAAATCATTATAAAATAATTAAACAATGAGCATGCCGTCTATGTTATGTTATTATTCATCCGTAAAGTTAACATAATGTGAGTTGCATATTTATAACCTAGTTATTCGGTGCATTTTGCTAGCACAATAGTTAGGCTTAAACCCAGTAAATTTATATGTGCATATATGTATATCTCCCGTATAATACTTTCCTTATGTACCATTATACTAATTCGGGCTCTTTACCCCAAAATAATTTCTAAGCTTCGGGGACGAAGCTTCTTGTAAGGGGGAGAGAGTGTAACACCTCGTGTTACGGCCTTTAATCCCGAATTAATTATTTAATTAATTCTTTTAATAATAATTAAAAAAGGACTTAATTTTGTTAAAATTCCCTTTAATTAATTAATGAGGTCCACCATGGATCGTGGACCCTTGCCTAAACTAGATTTTTAAGCCCATTAGGAATAAAGAGAGCAAACCTTTTACTAGTCAGATCCTAATTACGAATACTAGACCTATATATCTATTGGGAATAAAGAAAGTAGACCTTTACTATTCAAGTTATGATTAGGATTCCTGATTCTATAAATAGAGGATTGGAAAACATTTAGAACCCACACCACCCATAATTATATTACACGAAAATACTCCCGGAAGATTCCCCCACCACGAAGCCTAGGGAGATCAATCGGATGGAAATCTTAGAGAAGAACCTTAATAGCCAAGGGAGGATTAATTAAGGCTAAGAGGTAACCCATGTCTCAACAAAACCTATTTTCTTTGCTATAATCTCCTTCTTTGGCTCCCTCTATATGCTTGTGTCTTGATGAATTCCTTTATGTTAATCATGATATAATCTTGTTAATTGATGTGATGATTTTATGTGTGATCTTGATGATCTTGATGTTAAAAAGAGGTTCTTGATATTTATGTGATGATTCTTGATAAATCTTGATGTTTCTTGATGATAAAGATAAAATATGATTTTAATGATTTGGATGAGATTAGAGCCCTAGGTTGGATTGGGAATTTGTATTATGATGTTCTCAATATATATTTGGGTGAGAATTCGCATGTTCAGGTGTTGTTTATGTTTAGAAGTCATAATAGGGTGACTTCTACGTGGTTCTCGCTTTTGATCCGTTAATTGCCTACGTGGTGTCGTTATTTGCGTTTAAAAGTGTGTAAGCATGGTTTCGGGTTCCACGGAGGATCCTGGGACGTTTATGTTGATACAGAGTCAGTGGGGGATAGGTGGGGTAGGGGAACCAGCCACCTACCCGCTGCCCAAAGAAGCACCGCCGGCAGCGGGCAGGCGGCGGGCAGGCCTTCCACCCACCGGCTACCCGCTAGATCGTTGCCCACTTCGGGACTTTGGCTCCCCCGTTTGATGTTCTCCAATCCCCGTGGTGTCCCAACGGACCCCATTTTTCGTGTTTGAGTCTAGTTTGGTGTTTCAGGTACTATTCGTAGGTTAGAAGAGTCTCAGGTATTGCATGCTAGTTGAATCGGTAACCCGTTGGCCTAGGAGAAAGATGCATGAACCCCCTTAGGACTATTCTTTGTATGTGAATGATCACACGTAAGTTTATTTATACGTCTCCCCCTTCCCAATGTGTTAATACGTGCTACTATGTGTTATGTGATGCATGATTCCCCAATTTGGTTGCGATCAAATTGGGTGTTCCTGAGCTGCGATTCAGAAGTTGGCTGCGGTCAAATTGGTTACTTATGAGCTGCGGTTCATTTTCCTGGCTGCGGTCAGTGATTCACTTCTTGGGCTACAGCCCACATGGGCCTCGTGTGCTATGGTCCATCGGCTGAATGCGCCAGCGGTGTGTAGGGCCACTAGCCTGAGGAAGGCCATAACCCACCGAATGAGTGATCAGGCGGTGTGTAGGGCTATGGTCGGCTGCGATCCACCGAGTGCTGGGCCAGCGGTGTGTAGGGTCGTAGTCTCTGAGGATTATCGCCCACCGAATGAGTCCCTCAGGCGGTGTGTAGGGCTTGATCCGCTACGATCCACCGACTGTACTCGTCAACGTTGTGTTGGGTTGTAGTCCCCAAAAGAGGATCGCAGTCCACCGACTGAGCGCGTCAG